GAACTAGGGCCTATATACGAGTATACGCCTTCTGCACGAATCTCGTATACTGCCATTTCCGAAGCACTTGAGACCAACGAGCGACTGTATCAATGCGGCTAATCTCGGGCATTTGCTGCGAGCTGTGCTGGTCGGTGAAAGAAGCTGGCCGTCTTGCCCTACCCATGTGACCGTCTTACCCCATGGAGTGGGGTAAGATGGGTTTTTGCAAGGTTTTGCAAAAATAGCTGCAGTTTATTTGTTGAGTCAGGTCTAAGTCTCATCTTCTGGCAAATGGAAGTAAAATGTCTGTAAAAGGTTTTCACTCAGTTTCCCGTTTCTATGATGTTTCTAACCGGCCGAAAAATGGCTCCAAAGTTAAGGTGCCCGTCTTACCCCACTTTCCCCTAGATAGAAGACGGTAGGCACTATCACATATATTCTGGTTTTTTCAAAACTCAAAAAACTTTTTGGATTTTTTGGCGAATATATCCAAAAAATGCTTTTTTGATTTTTGGGGGTCAAAACTCAAAAATTTCAAAAATTCGAGATAGCAGTTTTGTAGCCCTGTCAATTCTACACCTTTTATGTCTTGATCATTTTTCTGTATCTTCAAAGCTGTAGTCCTGACAGGTCTTCTCGCGAAGGTCTTTTTTCGGTCGAAAATGACAGAACATGACGTCACTCTGACGTCATTTGTGGCCAACCTATCATAGCCTCTGGAAAAATTTTCGGTCACAATGTGTAAAATTGATTCCCGGAGGGGTCCTGAAAGTTTGGTGGCGATATCTCCAGCCGTTTAGGAGATATCGACCGAAAAGGACAGGGGGGGCCGTTTCGGCCCCCCTACGGGGCGCGGGTTAACGGCGAAACGGCGAAGGATGGTCATAATCCTCCCCCCCCCCCCGGATGGGAGGCATGGAAAACCAATACATAGGTCCGGCCAGGGACAAAAACTATCAGTCGATGTGCCTGAGCAGTGAGCATGGCCAACACGGTGATCCACTAATCACAGCTCCGCGTCCAATTTTCGCGATTTGTTCACCGAGTTCAAAAACCAGCATTGGGATACTGGAGCGACGAAGGCACCTGAAATACGTTAACTCTGATTTAGTTCCAACTCCAAAGCTACTGCAGACAAATAATTACGGCAAAACCCGCCTATTTTGGCGGCATTCGCCAAACGTGGGCCAAAACATTGATCCGAGATCAAACCTGAAAATATCTTAGCGAATGAGCTCCGAAAGAGCTATCGAGCGCGCTTTGTGAAAATGTCAGAATCGGGGGAAATGTCAGAATGTCAGAACTAGATATTAGCCCTACCAATAGGTTTCAGAAAGTGATGCTCATTGTCCCTTTAACTGACCAATGAAATAGAATTTGAGCTATTGTTGGTGATGCAGGAATAAGAATACCTTCTTCGCAGTGACGCTGGACGCTTGTTACTATAAACGCAGCTCTATCGACAACTTAAGTTTCGGGCGGAGTCGCCCATTTGTAAGTACCCGTAACAAGCGAACGAGAAGTCAGTGCATTCCTAGCGCCACTACGCGAGTAGCGATATAACCACTGTTTCACAAATTCGTCACCAGATGTCCGCCAACAGCATGGTCGTGCCAGAAATAAATAATCGAATAGTGCATGCATACTACATACTATGGAAATTAAACCAAGCAAGCATATTTTCGGCTGTTTCTCGTTGACTTAAAGGTCGGTGGGAAGTGGGGATAATGAAAGCACGTAAGGAATGGGAGCTGAAGAAATGTTCAGTTATCGTTATGAGCCTACGTAATCTGCAGAAAAATGTCGCAGAGCTTGGGTCATTTCGGTTTGGGTCACGAACTTCCCTGGCTTGATGTAAAATAGTCAGACTGGAGCTGCACTGCAAGTGTCGTAGTAATCCGGCTCCTATTGAGTTATTCAAGAAAAAAAAACAGGTTTGTCCAACCACCCCGAAACCCCCAAAGTGGTGCTTTTCACCATCACCATGTTTTTTATTATAAAACCGGTGAAACAAAACATTTTGTCATGATGATGGATTTCGGCACAACCCGTAATATTTGTGACCAAAACTTGCACGCACAATATGGCCTTGCGCATAATTACATATGCCACAGACCTCGATTTGATTACATACCTATGTCCATTTACATATGCCACGCGCATCACATGCGCGCGTGCCGCATATGTACGATGAATTGCGCCTGAATTGATTGTTTTCTGTGAGCCCCGGAGTCACTCTGGACGGCGGACCGTGTGGCCCCAAGGAGTCGACCTGGGGCGGCCACCGCCCGGCAACCGTCACCGTGGCTGCCACGCCGTCCGTCGCGGCGTCACAGCGGTCCGACACAGTCGAGCGGGCCTCAATACAGACCACCCCCGGTGCCCAGCGCACTGGGAAACTCGGCCATGGGAGACCGCTGACCGGTGAAAAAGTGACACCCCACAGACAGGCCGCGACACGGCCGAGTGAGGCGCCCAGGCAGGTGGGAAGGCGCAGAGTCCGGAAACAGCCAGCGGAGCATAAAATGGCCATGGGATGCAGATAAATTGGTGCACAGATAACAGTAGTACTGGATTGGAAACAGGATTCCGTGGCTGCAGTAAGAGGCCGAAAACAGAACCGAATATTTCGTGCCCAGACTTCGATATCTTCTCACACAGGCAAACAAAAAATTGGTTTATGTGAATGAAACTCATTAAGAAGCAATCTAGCCGTGCTCGTGTTTAGTGCTGCATTTTTGCATAATGGCAATTTATTTTACTAAACATTGCTGGTTACACTTTCCTCGCCGTGGTGAGGGAACGTATGCCACTGATTTGATTATACTGATTTCCCACTCTCATCCACAAAAAGTACTTGTACATGGGAGTTTGATCTCTTTATTTACATGCTAATCGACACCAGTCCTGTCACAACAAACCATCCAAACGTCACAATTCAAACCAACGTCACAAAACACCCCTTCAAGTGTCACTTCGCTTCGCCTGCCCTCCCAATTTCATCAGCGACCTTACTTCCCCGCCTTACATCTTCTTGACCCTGCTGAGCTTTGGCCTCTTGTCGCTCCTCGATCGGGTTGCACCTGGGGTGCAACCGAATTGCCGCTGGGGTGTCTGCTTCCTGACTTTCGATGGACAGGCACGGTCTTGAGTGTCTGCCTCATTTATCAGTTACCATGTTTCCACACTTTCCAGCAAATAGATTGAAAACCGTCGCATACATCTCTGGAAGGAGGCTCCTAAGGACGTCGTGGCTATCATTGCAAACGACTTCCGGTCAGTTCGACATCCCGGTTTAGGACTATCTTCGTCACTTCTTGGTTGATCGCAGACCAGCAGCTGGTTCCTGTTAGCTTTCATCTTCGGCAGTTGCCTCCAAATATGGCAGATCCTCACGGTGAGGTCGATGTCTTCCTCGTCTTTCTCCAGTCGTACCTCCAGCGGCGTAGCCCCAAGATAGATCAGCAGGCTGGCGGAGGCACCGTACTTGTTACGCCTGGTGGCCGAGCGTGCCAAGGCGCCAGAGCTGTGTCCCAGGGAGGCCTTGGCGCTGTCATCCAGGTCCTCCATTTCAGTGGATTTCGCCACCGCGGCCACTGGCTCCTGGATGACAAGAGCACCATCCTGCTGTCGCTCCTGCTGTGATGCTGATGGTGCCATTCGGGCGGAGGCGTCGGCGGGGCTGAAACGTGACCAGTGACCACCATCTGAGGCCCTTAGTTCGACTTCGGAGTACCGCCTCATTCTCCAGGAACTGTCGGACACTCGACCAGTTGTAGTTGCCACCTGATAGCTGACATTGTCATTCGTTAAGAACGCATCGGTCTGGTCTTTCATAACCTGCTTCTGGTGTGAGTGGCGTGCGGATGCCATGGCTAGTTTCGCTGGCCGCTCGTGCACAGGGGGCATCGCGTAATCCACGCTGGTCAATACTGACAGGACTGCGCCGCTCTTGAGCCGACGGCGCTGTCTCTGCATGCCGGTGCGAAATGACCGATCATCTTCGAAATCTTCCTTTCTGAAATGCAGCTCACACATGCAGCGGAATAGTCCTGATTTCACTCAGCCCGGTCACGGTGACCCATGGCGCCAACCCACTGAGCCCGTAGAGATGTTTCGGTGAGAAAAGCGAATAGGTGGCATGTGAGACAGATTCTCCTGTTTTAATTTTTTGTTCCTCTTGGATCGTTGGGTTGTAGCCAGAACGGCAGGTTTTTACCGCTCATTCCCCTCCTCCATTGCTGATGTACAGTCCACAGCAGAAGTAATGTGGGGTTTCAGTCATGGGTATGTTCTGCTTCTGAAGCTTAGGAACGATTAGTCAGACTACAATGAAACTTTGAATGTAGCTTATATGTATCGTCACCCTTGCAGCTGCAACTTTAGCTATTGACATCTTCTTTTCGATCACTCCGCATTAAACAATCGCCAGTCAAAGCCAACCGTTGAGATTGGTAAAACCCTACATTACTTAAGCGGTGGGCTGTACCTATACGTATGTAAGGCTTTGCACCACACTTTGTTTTCAAAAGAAAACACCACGCATTGTGCACTCTAAATAATCAAATTAAAAGTGAAATACTTTAATTTTTTAAGCAAATGAAAGTAACATTGGTAGCTTCGATTTTAAATGTAAACGACAAAACACAAAAATGACGATTTCTTGCAATACACAACACACAAATTATCCACCCAGCAGCACGCGAGAATCCCATTTTGGCGCCGTCGCATAAAAACATTCGGCCTCTTACTGCAACTGCCAATATTCTGTTTCCAATCCAGTACTACTGTTATCTGTGATTGGTGATATGGAAGAGTAAGACCCAAATAAAAATGAAATAGGAAAGGAAATGTAGGTGCTACGAATCATGGCAGGCGGCAGCACCACTACAGCTTGTGAAAGGCTACTTTTCGGTGTCATAAAATATAGTCCCTGTTGCCTGTTGGCTATCGGCCTCGTAAATGATCAACTAGCAGTGAAAGGAAGTGCCAATTTTTCTGCTTCGATAACTTAGAACTTGCATCTCTCTTTAATTTGTATTTCAGTTCCGACAGTATCGGCAATCGGCATACAAAAACGAGCTATGTCCTGATTTGAATGTCACATGGACCAACAATTTCACTCAAGTTACACCTAGGTAATCCCTCACGGGTCACACCACGTGCGTCTGTCAGCAGCGGTCGGCCCTATGCTTGTCGACCAGTGCAGCGTTCAGCCGTAATCACACACACAGCAGTACAGGCGCGGTTACCTCTCAGTGGGATAGCACGTGGCGACCCTTGAGCAGTCGCCGCATGATGATGCGCCGGCCGGCCGGGGTCTGCAGGCGCGTCTTCCAGCCGTGGGTGCGCAGCCGTTTCACTTCGCGCGGCCGCGGAAAATGCACGCGCATGGCGGTGCGCAGCTGACCGGCGGCTGGCCAGAGGCGCACGCACGCGTCCAGCAGTCCGGGCGAGGTGAGCGGTGTCGGCGCCGCCGATACCACGCGGCACGTCAGAGAGGAGAAGCTGTGAAAACCAGCGGTCAGCATCAGTAGAATCGCTATTGAGCTCTGCAAGGCTTTCTTTTATTTCATAACCTACCGACGAATATTTCCGATGACTCCCGAAACACTCAGGTATAGCCTGCTGCCTGCCATTAACAGGAAGAAGTAATAGTAACCCCAATAATTATAGAACTGAAGCGCTGTGACTGCCAGGAAACTTCATTTACCTTCTCCTACATCAAGTTCAAATTGTTGGAAACATTTTTTGTTTGGAATTGGTGAAAAACCAGTTTGTTATTTTGCATGTCAATCATGCCATCTTAGGCTAAAATGTTGCAGAATGTGTTGATATCATCTTAGGCTAACATAAAAACTACACATCACTACAAATAAGAAAAAATGCCAAAAAGTCTAATAAAAAGTTCAAACTGAAACATTTATAAAAGGTTTCTTTTAAGTCTCCCAAAGCAAAGCTTTCCATGATTAATATATCTGTCATAAGGCAATATGTCCAATTAGATGGTTCACTTACCTCCTGAGCCCAATGAATGGCCGATACAATGCTGATTGAATCACTCCCAAAACACTCATTGTTGAAGAGATATCTGAAAAAGCAGCATTAGCAAGGAAAATACTTCTAGGATAGACACACACAGTGAGAGTATTTTAAATCAATAAAATCAATGAGGATTAAATAAAAAGGCACCTTCTGACTACCGAGCATGATCAATGATCATATCATTCCACTCAATATTAATTCCTATCTGAAAATAAGCAACAACCTAATAGGTACAGCTCACCGCTAAAGTAATGTGTGGTTTTACCAATCTCAACGGATGGCTTTGACTGACGATTTTTAAATGCGGATTGATTGAAAAGAAGACGTCAATAGATAAAGTTGTAGCTGCAAGGGTGAAGATACATGTAAGCTACATTTAAAGTCTCGTTGCAGTCTGGCTAATCGTTCCTAGGCTTCAGAAGCAAAACATACCTATGACTGAAACCACACATTACTTCTGCTGTGGACTGTACCAACTACCTTGTCCCACTAGGTAGTTCTGATAAACACCAAATTAGGCATGATTATTCATTATATCATAAATAAAGTCACAAGTGACACCAGAAAACACTCAGGCAGGAACCCAGAACCCCAGCCAAATTGGTACCTTTATATTCAAATCTACTTTCTAAAACTATCAATTTGTACTTTTAAATATTTGAAGACATATGTGAGGTAAGGTGGCTGTAACAGAGCTGCAACTGAGTATTTTTTTCAAATATCACATAATCACCATCATGTAAAAATATTTCTCAGTCTGCCCACCCAAAACCCCAATTCCCCACATTTCCCCTATTGTGTTGGACCAAGGCCCTATATAGAAGGTATGCTCATTAGGCCGAAGCAGCGATTTCCGTGACGTCACAGGTACGAAGGGTCGGACGGCTGTAATGCAATCATATGGAAAATGACCCAAATTTAGGGCTCTCCCACATAGCTGCCAGACTCGATACTCGGGTAAAAATTATATCACATGAAAGCTCGAATCAAGACGAACAAGAAACCTATGTGACATGTTACGTATTACTAACGGCTTAGACACTATTCAAGTATATTCAGAGCTCTGCATTAGCTCACTTTTTCTGCCGTCAATGCCTCTACAAATGCCTAGTCGGCCCACGTGCGCTTGTCGAGCGGGGACCACCAGTCGGGCGATTCGAAGCTACCGCCCAATCAGAACGCCACAATGCCGTGACGTCATTGGTCGCACACGACACGTTACGGAGATAGGGATGAGACAGCCGCGTATATTCGGATGCAGTATGAGCAGGCATATTTACGTCTGGACAACGAGTTGCGGGGAAAAGTGCTGATTTTGTTGCAGTTTTAGGAGCCGGTGATTAGGCTGGATTTTTGGGTTACTTTTTCGTTCCGATTCATGTATTTCATAGTGTTTGGCTTTTGAATATTTTAGTTCTTTCAGATAAATATTACTTGCCTTACAACTTTTGTAAAAACGTTTCAATTTTTATAAGCCGACCTTCAGAGTCCTAAAAATACATCAGCACTACAGTCATTGTAAACAAACAAATGGAGCACCACTTGGCTCTGTTCCAAGGCGCTTTTTAAGTTTATCTGGTGGTTTCCGTACTCTTGTACGTCGTTTTGTTGGATGTTTTGAATCCCTTAAGATTGACTCATATCATATTTAAGAAGCATGTGACTGAAAACAATCCGAAGTATCCAGGAGGCTGACAGAGTGAGAGGTCCTGACTCCTGAGCAATATCAATATCAAGTTGAACTTGAAGTTATGAAATTTTGGTTGATAACCGCAAGTTGATCGGGCTCATATATCAGCAAGAAAAAGTAAAATTAAAAGAGCTTATTGGCCCGAAAACAATCTATAATATTGCAGATCTTTGAGCAATACTGAAGAGCGCGCTGAGCAGGATCATGCCAGCAAAATGCAAATGTTGACTGATGAGCGCATATTGATGTATTGGTATGGATATTGAATGATAACTTACAACAGCAAGATAAATTAGTGCTAACTATCAAGTTAAAAATCTAGAATGAATGGACTTTGGCAGCTTTACTATGCTTAGATGCCAATGCTATGCAGATTGTAATGTGCATCACCAGCATCAGGTACTCAGTGTCTGGCAAATGAAACATGCGATCATTCCATTGCTACTGGAGGAGAAAGCTTTGATCACTAAATCCACTTTATGTTGATTTTGATGTTAATCATTACTGTATTTCTTGAAAAAAGGATTGTTATAAAATTGTCAATGTGACAATCCATGCAACAATGTGATCACATAATGTGTTCATAGTCATTCGTGATAGTGATTGTTGGTCCAATATACAATGGCAAAGCTCTCAGTCTCAGCGTTTCTTCCTGTGGATGGCCAGCAGTGACTCAGAGCTTAGAAGTATTAGTTTTCTTCACAAGGCTGGGATAAAAAGTAGTGAGGGTAATCTTCCACCAAGGAACTCTACTTTGACATGTTATGAGATGTAGGCACAAGTAGGTAGGTGCTTAGTTCCTATAGTCAGCAGTTGTTTAGGTTTAGTCGGGTTAGCTTAGATTAGGTTATGTTAGTTTTTTAATTTGCTAAGTGTCCATAAAAATGTGACCTGAGCAATGAGATAACCTGACAGCTGACCTAATCTCAATCATCACACATATTTGCAGCCTACCCAAGACCTGCATAGCAGTAGCACCCAGTTATAGGTAGGTACTCACCCTAACTCAATCTTACCTGCTAACCTTCTACTTGCCAATAGTTAGCTCACCTTGCCAAGCTGCATCCACAGAAACAGTCAACTGAGGAACTGGCTCATTGGGTGGCTGGTGTGAGTCTGTGCATTTAAAGTGTTTCTTCTCTGAAGCTGCTCTGCACTGCTGTATGTCATGTTAGATGCTCAGAAAATGTGGGAAATGATTACTAAGCTACTTTAGTGCTTTGCTAATGCTTGAAACATGAACAAGTACAGATCCTGCTGCCTGCACTTGCAGGGTATAGCTATGAGTTAGGTGCTAGGTGAGTATGTTATGTGAATGTGCTGTTCCTTGTTTGACCATAGTAAGTATACAAACAAGTACAGGGTCACAGTTATATTCAATCTCCACATAAACATACAGGGGCGCGGGAAGTACTTTCCGACTGGGGGGGCACACCATAATAGAGATCAACCTAGGGTACCCCCAAATCTAGTTTTCTCACCGGTTTTAGGCCACTTATTTTTCACCCCTCGGCTTTTTCAACAAAAAAAGAAAACATTTGCAAAAAAAGTGTGGTATTCCGTCTCAAAGCTGTGGGGGCACCGCCCCCACGGCCCCAGAGTTGGGGGGGCAAGCTGCCCCCACTGCCCCCCCGGCTCCCGCGCCTATGTAAACATACAACAAAAAAGGCCATATAGCCTCACTCCGAACACACCACAAAGAACTCAAGCCTTTGCAGGCACAAAAATGCTTTGATTTACAGGACAGGTATACAATATATCCTCCGTCCTTGTGGATCTTGCTGCCAAGTTGATGCACTCGATGACTGACCTTCAGGATTGATCAACTTTTCTTCTTAGCCACTGCTTATATACGAGATAGACCAAATTGAAATGAGTTGTTTAAACTGCCTTGAAAATTTAATGATCCACCTTCAATTCTGACATGAAGCCTGAAGGCACAAATAAAATAGTTCCCTCTCCTTTTGGAATACACAAAGCAAAATATTTAATAACTTCTATTGGATGGACAAGAGCAATTAGCACAGCTCCCCTCAGCTGTTCGGCAGCCGGCTATTTTGTGTGCAGGGTATGACGTATTTCGCGAGCCGACGTCACAGGCGGTGACGTCGGCTCGCGCGCGAGCCGAGCGCCAACGACAAACTAACGGGAACCCTCGGACACCCTCGGGGCATAAACCGCGGAGTAGCATATTGAGCGAGTCTTATAAGGAAAATTCATATATTTTCGTTTCTTAAATGATAATCAGGGTGTCTCTTACCTTTTTACATATCATTTAGGCTTACCTAACACTTCAGTTGCCAAATATCTGTAATTTATTCAAGCGAAGGTATTTTCAGTAAATATCAATGGTATTGACCGAAATCTTTTGAATAAAAACTCCAACCAACAGAAATAAAAATAACTTAATTTATTCCAACCATTTCCTCCAAATAAACAACATAAAAACTCACTTTTACACACATCATTCATAATAAAGCATACTAACACGCCGCTTTTGACAATTGCGGCGTCGAGTGGCGCGCTGCTAGCGCTCTTTTTCGATCGCAGAGACCCTGCACGCGCGCGAGCACACTACGTCGCGTATTTGGAATTTCCGACCTCGACGAGCGTCTGTGGTAGAAAACCACCACTTTAGTAGGGGAAACTATATATATATATAGCCTTGGGGGAAACTACTGCTGTCTGCCACAATTTGCACTGCATGTCAAGCTATTGTAGCGTCATCCATATGCATATACATTTCCGACCTCGACGAAAATCTCGCGGCGCTTCGCGCCGACCCGCGCCACCCATTCATACTGGAGACCAAAAGAGATTATGAGTTCAGAGTTGTGACAAATACCTAAAGCAACCACCACGTATGATGTATACATTAACACTAGTTAACTATCAGATTGACGGCATGTGTCAACAATTATACCCTGATAGAACTTAGAAGACCGGAGGCTCTGGTTACCCGTGTAAAAATGAATACTTCGGACGCGTACCGCGTAGGAATTCAGCCCAGTATCGTTGAACAGATAGTGCATCGGCCTGAAAAAGTGCGGTAACGATACCTAATTTTGGGTTTTTAGTCGGCCGATCCGTATTCCGTCCCCCCTGTCGAAAATCTGTGGCGACGCCCCTGGCACGTAAGACAAAAGTACGCATCGCAAATGTTCGTACAGTATAAAATACGCATGGACAAAACTACGTCAAGGACAAAAGTACGCACTACGCATGGCAAAAGTACGTAAAGTATAAAGCACGACTAATGGATAAAAGTACGTGAAGGACAAAAGTACGTATCGAAGAAGTACGTATAGGTGCATTATTAAGTACAGTATGTCTAAAAAGAATGTACCGTCGCCACTACGTGGCGCTGGTGTCGCGAGCCGGTAGTTGGCTGAATCCGCACCAGACCACACATTCCCAAGCGCTAGGTGACAGCTGCGCAGCGGCCGGTAGTAGCGTAAGCCCGAACCTTCGTGACACGACCCCGGGAGGGGGGAGGGAGAGAGGGAGGGGAGCGGGCGGGGCAGCGCGTGCAGGGAGGGGTGCTCCGGCAAGCTGGCAGTTGTCGCGGCCAAAGGTCAAGGGGTCACACACCAAGCGAACGGACGCTGATGTGGGTTCGTGGGGATCGTGAACTTGTGTGTGGTAGGTGCGTCTTGCGATGCACGGGTGATACGCCATGGGTCTAAGCCAAATGATTCGGGGGAGAGCTGAAGAAAAATACCTGGTCAACTACGGCGAATAATGGTGCTGAAAAATGGAAAGTATGGGTCAATGCAAGCCTTCATGACTATAAACTTTTCTGAGGGCGCAAAGGCCAGCATTGAATAACGACATCCGGATGGAAAATAGCAATGATTTATAATCATATGCCGAAGTAATAGCGCTGCAAAACCCACCTAGTAAATTGTCAAGTCGGATTCATACCGACTTGAATTAAACTATCCTAAATTAAATTGTGTATAAGATCTCTATGCTTTGACCAGCTTCGTGACCTGACGGGCTGTGACCTGACCTTGACCCGAGGTTAACACCTTAACTTGATCTCACCCGAAGAAAAAGTATACCTACCATTCGACACGCCTGAGCTAGACAAACACGATGCTGCTAAAATCGCGGATCTGCGATCATGTTTAGCGAAGTTATTTACCAAAAACCGAACCTGTGCCTTGGGCCACTTGACCTAACCTCAGAAGTCATCGGCTGATCATAGTCCTTAAAATCGGAGACCAATCGCTGCATTTCGTAACGACGCGCACGATCGTTTCTTTCGTGAGGCTCTAGCTCATTAAGGGGCGAATCGGCAAATGGGGTTGTTCCCTCACTTCCAACCCCCCAACGCCCCCTCGGTATTCAGAAAACCTGAAGGTCCGGTGAGGGTTAAAACGTTGCTCCTGAACGAGGAAGAAATGTAAAGTCAAAGCTCTATAGACGTCATCCTGTAAAAGTGGCCATAATAAATAAATTGGTTAGAGATAAGATGCTTTTTAAACGACTTCCTCATATAAAATCGGGTGCTGAGACCAATCTTATAAACGCTTTAGAATGGACAGGGCGTCACTGACTAAAGTTTTGGTGCAGGAAACGGCTATTAAATGCAAAATGGTTTTCATGCATTTCAGTCAATTGTATATTGACGGTCCCAGTGGCCGAGCTAAAAAAAAAGTTTGGTAGTGTTTTGCATCTTTTACGCCCTAAGAAACTACACCATCTATTGAAGTGAGCGGCCTTATTTGAATGGGAGGGCGTATTATGCGTCAATCGTGTGCTTTCGTTTGTTTTGGACTGTATTTTACGACATCCACTGCTGGTATCACTATTAATATTATCTAATGCCGTGAATACGACAGCATTCCATTTATAAGATTGGGCCAATGGAGTCGCGCCCTGCGAGCTCGGTTTTCCGCTCGGCCGCTACGGGCCGAGGAAGTCGGTCTTCGCCTGAGGGCAGGACGGAGGTCAGCGAGGGAGCGCGGGGTCAGCCAGGTATCGCCCAGTGCCGAGCGGATGCCGCTCCCTCCCCTCTCTTCCCCTCTCTTCCCCTCTTCTCCCCTCCCCACCTCTGTATAGATGGGGAGGGACCGAACTGCCAATGACATGCGAGCGGTCAAGGCCGCTCGCGCGGCAGCGACCCTGGCGGCCGGGTGCCGCAACTGGGATTCAGCAAAGTTACCGATTCGCCTCCTGTGGGAGAGCCAAACCAGGGGACATACTTTTTAGACATACTGTACGCATGGACAAAAGTACGTCAAGGACAAAAGCACATATCGTAAAAGTGCGTACAGCATAAAGTACGTATGGATAAGAGTACGTCAAGGGCAAAAGTACGTATCGCAAAAGTACGTCGAGTATAAAGTACGTATGGAATAGGTACGTCAAGGACAGAAGTAGGCGTATCGCAGAGGTAGGTACGTACAGTACAAAGTACGTATACCTAGACAAAAGTACGTCAAAGAAGAAAATACGCATCGAAAAGTACGTAAATTATAAAGTACGTATATCGCTGACTGCTGAGGTACGTACCCTTGCTGACTTGCATAGATGTCGCAATGGGTCGCAACTACAGCGAGACATGCAGTGCAAACAGTAGCAGACAGCAGTAGTTTCCCCTACCAAAGTGGTGGTTTTCTACCACAGACGCTCGTCAAGGTCGGAATTTCCAAATACGCCACTACGTCACGTCCGGGGGGCACAGGTATATGAAAAATCGCAGTGACGTAACACTTTTCTCGCTTCTCATTGGTCAATAGCCCGTTGCCGGGGTAACGTGCACGTATGTGAGCGCGGGCAAGAGTACTAGCCGGCCGCCGATCAGGGCTCTGATGAATTACACTGACGCTTATTCGCTTCATATTTTGTAACAAACGCGCTAAAACTGCAATATAACAGCACTATATGCTTCTGGACAAAATGCAAAAGTAGTAAAAATTTAGTCCTGGTGGCATTCATTCTAGGTGGAAACGTAATTACAAAATATTTTGTAGTAACTATTAAATTACGGCCGAAAACAGTGCACGGTTTAAGAAAGAATCATCCCAATGACGGTCCATTCTTGCGGTCCTGAAATCGCCACTATTTCCGGCCTCTCCAACGCAACTCGTTGTCCAGACGTAAATATGCTATGAGCAGAGCATGGGTCCCGAAAAATTCCTCAGAAACTAGAGAAATTCTCGGACACACACGACGGGTACCATGTGAATGCGGGTGAGACTAAATGCTTACTTCAAAATTTAAGCTGCGTTGCGGCATTGGCGGTTATGTGCGGCGTGTATGCCGCATGATTAGTAAGCGGCGACCACTAAATTAAAAACTCAATAGCTTTGACCTGTTTTCAATGGATAACACTGCATACCAAAAATGTCCATCGCTCTCGTCATAGGATATTTAGATTTAAATAACTAAATTATCTACATCATCGTTTTGAACCAAATTAATACTTTCAACTTGACCCTCGCCCGTATTGGTGTTTTTCCAGCCGCGAACGTATAAGGTATAACCCTTTGCCGTTTCGCTCCTGATCAAGCTAGAGCTTCGCGGAAAAAACGAGTGTGTTGCCCGTGACGAGAGGAAGCCGATGATACCCAATTTTAAGGTCCTAGGTCATCGGTTGACCTTCCAGGTCAGGTCAATGACCCAAAAGGCAGGAAAATTGGGACCTGTTAGAACGTTGGACGTGGTGAACGTGGGACCTGAAAAAGTTGCACCTCTATGTAATATGTGGGCTCGATATACTGTGTGACGTTCCAAGAACTATTTGGGAAAAGTTGCACCTCCGGAGAGACGGACGGACGGACGGAGAGACGGATGGACGGACGAAGAGACTGATGACGGACGGACGGAGAGAGTGACTGATGGACGGACGGATGGAGAAACGGACGGACGGATGGACGGACTGAGAGACGGAAGGGCGGACGGACGGACGGACGGACGGACTGAGAGACGGAAGGGCGGGCGAACGGACGGAGAGACGGACAAAGAGATGGACAGACGGACGAGAGAGAGAGAGAGAGAGAGAGAGAAAGAGAGAGAGAGAGAGAGAGAGAGAGAGAGAGAGAGAGAGAGAGAGAGAGAGAGAGAGAGAGAGAGAGAGAAGGGTGGTGAGAGAAAGGAGGATCAGATGAAGGAAAAGACTTAGAGACATGGATATTACTTGTCAGAGACTCGGGGAGGACGGGAAGGAGACTGATACCTAAAGAGAGGAAAGATGATCGTGAGCAAGGGGTTTGGGAGATAGGTAAGGAGACAGGAGAAAATGAGATTTTATTGCTCCGGTCCCAATAACACTTCCCAAAATAAAATATAATTGGTCGTAATTATCGAATAAGAATCGAAAATTGTCAATTGAACGTCTGATTTGCTTACATCGATCCGCCCTATACCCTGTTTGACATGTTTGCACCAAAGCCAACTTGCAGGCTATACATCGAGCGAGTGGTATATACTATACAATAAATACATCTCTCCCGGTGGTATACCTGCATAGAGCCG